TGAAGACAGAGGGACATTTTGCTCATTTATTGTTTTGTATCCCAGAATTGCTACTATTTGATCCTTACCACAGCCCTCTAGGGTAGAGAAGGCACCTGGTGTTGTCGTTATTTTGCAGAAAAGGAGACAGATACTCCAAGAAATGGAATGATTCACTCAAGATCACACGGCTGAATTGGGATTAACACCCAGGTTATCGTTCCTTAGACCACTACTCCCCACTTATCAGCCTGTCTCCCAGAACTAAAGGAGACATTCTGGGTGCTGTCTGTCCTGCCTTGGCAACAACAGGGATTACGTCTTTCATTATTTGTGTAGCAGAGCAAGTTAGGTGCCATTTTCCCTCTTTTCTTTCAGGACTCTGGCACACCACTGGGCCTGAGCGTACACATGAAGAATTCCTACCCACAGGGAAGAATAGGAAAGGGAGGGAGAGAAGCCCACACCCTGAGTTGGGGTGGTAGCTGAGAACGGAGTCACAGGCTCCTGTCCTCTGGGCCAGGCAGCATTCATTGCTGAATCTCTCTCTTTCCCAAACCCCTGCAGCTAATGCTCCTGGGATACGCTGGCAGAGTTACTGTTGTTACAATTCTCATTTCATTAGGCTTTAATCAAGCTCTCCTCTGAAGTGCTACATAAATTCAGTTTTGAATTTTACATATAAAATAATCAAATGAGAGTGAAGCATGGTAGACATAAAATGTTTTTTAAAATGAAAATGATATTTTTAATTTAATCATATGAAAATCATCTGGATGCAGTACAGCTAAGTGGCAGAGACGCTGGAGAATTAAGATGGGTTATGATCAGAGACTCTCTTTGCCCTGTTCAAATCCTCAAGCCAAAGAAGGGGAAGGTTTAGATTTATCATAGCATAGAAATCCCATAGATTATGAGAAATAAGGAGGCAACTGAGAGAGTGGCAGCCTTGATAAAGAGTTTCTCTTTTGTTCAGAGAAACTTAAAGATTGCTATATTCTCTTACCAGTGGCCCCAGAAAGCCCATGAATCTACACAGGTTGGTGAATGATTTCCAATTCCTTGGATATTTTTCCTTCTCTCCATTAAACAAACCTGGCATTCTTTAACCTAAAATCTCACTTCCTATGAAAATTTATTCAAAGGAATAGTTGTTTATACAGCTTATGTTCAATTATACATGATATTTGCAAAAGCCTGGTGTCATAGAAAGAACATGTGTCTAAGTCAGTCTACAGGCCTGAGTTCTAGTTTCCAAGCTATAAATCAGCTAACCTCCTCGAGCCTCCATTTCCTGATCTGTAAAATGTGGCCATGGACCTAAATGGCCTTCCAAATCTATACACTGTTAAAGTTTTCTTTGATTGTTTGATATTTGTCTCTTCCAACTGGATTATGAATCCCAAGAACAGGGATTACACCTTCAGCATCTTTGGTACATCCATCCCCACCCCACGCTGCCTGGCACTGTGCACCCCAGTGGCGGCCTTGTCCTTGCTGACTGCTGCCTAATTGATGGCACCTGAGGCAGCCAGGAGCTGGCACTTTGGTATTTTCTGCAATAGAAGAACAAACTACAGAATGAGAAATCACTCCAGCTTTTACTCTATTGACCAAAGTAGAATATCTAGGGATCAAAACAACCGGGGAACTGTATATTTTTTTAATTTATACATAATAAATAAAATTAACTTTTGTGGGTGGTGGTGACGTACAGGTCTATGAGTCTTAACGCATGCATAGGTTTATGTAACCACCACCACAATTGGGATACAGAATACGTCTATCACCCCCAAAAACTCCCTGGCATCAGACTCCTCCCAACTTCAAACCTGACAACTAACAATCTGTTGTTCATTCTTAAAATTTTGTCTTCCAGAGACTACCATATAAATGGAATCATAGAGTATGTAACCTTTTGAGACTGGCTGCTTTCACTCAACATAGTACCTTTGAGATTTATCCATATTGTTGCATATCAATAATTTGTATCATTAGTTCCTTTTTATTGCTCAATATCATTCTATTACATAAATATATCACAGTTTGTTTATCCTGTTGATGGATATTTAGTTTGTTTCCAACTTTTGGCAATTATTAATAGAGCTGCTGTAAACATTCATGTGTAAGTTTTTGTGTGAATGTAAGTTTGTATTTCTCTAAGATAAATGCTTAGGGGTGAGGTTTCTGGCTCATACGGTAATTCTGCGTTTAACTTTTTGAGTTAACCACCAAACTGTCTGCACTGTGGCTGTACCAGTTTACATCCCTACCAACAATGTGTGTGAATTCCAGTTGTTCTGTGTCCTCATGAGCATTTGGTATTGTCATTTTGTTATCTGTTTTGTTTTGTTTTTATTTTAGCTATTTTGATGGGTTTGTGGTGGAATCTCATTATAGTTCTAATTTGCATTTCCCTAATGACTATTGACATTGAGCATCTTTTCATGTGCTTCTTTGCTACCCATATGCCTTCTTTGGTAAAGTAATTTCAAATCTTTTGCCCATTTTTTAATTGAGTTGTTTGCTCTCTTGTTAAGTTTTAAGAGCTCTTTATATATTCTGAATACACGTTCTTTATCAGATATATCTTTGCACATATTTTCTCTAGTTCGCAACTAGTCTTTTCAGCCTCCTACCAGTGTCATTCTCAGAGTAAAAGTTTTAAATTTGATGAAGTTCAGTTTATCTATTTTTTCTTCATGGATTGTGCTTTTGGTGTCATTTCTAAGAAATCTTTTCCTAACCCAAGGTCACAAAGATTTTCTCCTGTGTTTTCTTCTAAAAGCTTTCTAGTTTTATATTTTACATTTAGGTCTATGGTGCATTTTGAATTAATTTTTTATAAGATGTGAGATTTAGGTACACATTTCTGTTGGCATGGGGGTGTCCAAATGTTCCAGGTTATTCCAAATGTCCAAATTATTCTTTCTCAATTGACTTGCCTTTGCACCTTTGTGACAAATCCATTGGCCATATTCTTGTGGGTCTATTTATGATCTGTTTTTATTCCTTTGCAAATTACATTGTCTTAATTAATGCAATTTTATAGTAAGTATTACTACAGCTACTCTGAGTCCTCCAACTTTATTCTTTTTCAAAATTATTGTGGCTATTCTAGTGCTTTTGCCTTTCTGTACACATTTTAGAATCAGCTTGTTGATATCTACCAAGAAATCCCTCTGCGATTTTGGTTGGGATTGCATTAAATCTATAGGTCAATTTGGGGAAAATTGACATCTTAATAATATTCAGTTTTCCAGTCCATAAACACATTATTTCTCCCATTTATTTAGATTTTCTTTTATTCTTTTTGTTTGTTGTTTGAGGCAGGGTCTTGCTCTGTCAACCAGGCTAGTATGTGGTGGCATCATCTGGGCTCAAGCAATCCTCCTATCTCAGCCCCTCTCATAGCTGGAACTATAGATGTGCACCACCGCGCCTAGCTAATTTTTCTATCTTTAGTAGAGACGAGGTCTCACTCTTGCTCAAGTTGGTCTTGAACTCCTGGCCTCAAGTGATCCTCCCACCTCGCTCCCAAAGAGCTAAGATTACAGGCCTGAACCACCACACCTGGCCTCATCAGGATTTTAATTTGACTCCTTCAACATTTTGTAGTTTTCAACATATAGGTACCATACACATTTTTTTAGATTTAAATCTAAGTATTTTTGTTTTGGGAGTTGTGGTAGATGGTTTTGTTTTTAAACTTCTGTTTCCAGTTGTTCACTGCTAGTGCATAGAATTTTTTTGTGTGTTGGCTTTATATCCTGTGACTTACTAGTTCTGGGAGATATCTTGTAGATTTCTTGGGATTTTCTATAGACGATCATGTAATCTGAAAATGGAGACATTTGTTTCTTCCTTTCAGTCTGAATGCCTTTTAATGTCTTTAACCTGCCTTGCTGCACTGGCTGGGGTTTTCAGTGTAACCCTGCCCAGCAGCAGTGACAGTGGAAATCCTTGCATTGTTCCCGATCCTAGAGGAGAATATTCAGTCTTTCTCTACTAAATATGATGTTACTGTGGCATTTTTATAGATGTCATTTATCAGGTTAAATTCTCTTCTAATCCTTGTTTGCTGAGAAATTGTTGTCATGGATGGATGTTGAATTTTGTCAAGTGCTTTTTCTACATCAATTGATATGATCATGTGAGGGTTTTTTTCTTTTTTACTATTTCATTTTATTCTGTCATTGCTTGATTGATTTTTGAACACTGAACTAGCCTCATATTTCTCAGATAAACTCTGCTTGATCATGGTGTATTATTGTTTTCATGTACTGTTGGATTCAATTGGCTAAATTTTGTTGACCATGTTTACATCCATGTTGATGGAGGATATCAGTTTGTATTTTCTTATACTGTTGTATCTATTTTTGGTATCAGGATAATACTGAAAATGAGTTAGGACGTGTTCCCTTGTCTTCTATTTTCTAGAAGAGATATGATGAATTGGTGTTTCCTTTTTAAATAATTGATAGAATTCACTAGTAAAATCATCTAGGTCTAGAGTTTTCCTTTTTAAAAGGTTTTTAACTATAAATTTAATTTCTTAAACAAATATAGAACTATTCAGGCTATCTGTTTCTTTTTATATAAGTTTTGGTAATGGCCTTAGAGGAATTATTTGCTTTTATATAAGTTCTTGAATAAGCACATAGAGTTATTCTAAATATTCCCTTATTGTCCTTTTAATGTCTATGTGGTCTGTAGTAGTAACACCTCTTCCATTTCTGATATTGATAATAAGGTTTTCTTTTTTTCTTTTGGGCTAGAGGTTTATCAATTTTATTAATCTTTTGCAAGAACCATCCCTTTGTTTCATTGATTTTCTCTGGCTTTTTTTCAATTTCATTCATTTCTGCTTTTTATCATTTCCTTCCATCTGCTTGTTCCATGAAACTTAATAAAAATTAAAAGTTACTGGTCTTATGAGCAAAAACCACTATAAAATATATCTTAAAATTCATTCTTTTGAGAACCATCCTAATAGTGTTCCATGCATTGTTTCTTTGCAGTTAACTGGTCTGAGCGTCTCCAATGGAAAGGACCAACTTGTAGTGTTCCATACAAAAGACAACAAAGACCTCATTGTCTGTCTGTTCAGCAAGCAGCCAACCCATGAGAGTCGAATTGGGGAACTCGTTGGAGTGCTGGTGAATCATTTCAAGAGGTAAAATTTGATTTTTGTAACTAAGACAAGTTTTAAATATATAAAATCTTTGATCGTAATTATCACCAAATTCATTTTTTGCCAATTTTAATGTATTGAGTTATTTTCCTCCATGAGGACAACTTAAATTATCTGTTTCACGGAAGGCAAAATTAGCATCCAGGCTAAGTTTCAAGATTAGGAATGGTCCTCTCCTTTTCCAGTCTCCAGCTGAACCACCAGTGAAAGAGATTTCCCTAATGGTGGTTTTTTTTTCACTGCCAATCCAAACATAATAAAATCCAAGAGATAAAAAAATTACCTTAATATTCTTATTGTCACAGCTTCTTATTTACCCCAAATATAATCAGCTGGTATGTCCACTATGACTATAAACAAATTGGAAGGCAGATTGAGATGACATGTAGGTCCATGAAGACTAAAGGAATTCCTGAGAGAGGCAATAACTGCTGCAAAAATACAGAGTCATGATGGAACATGGCATATTCTGAGAACCTCATAGTGAGCCTAGATGATACCTGAGGTTGGCAGGTGTAAGAGAGAGTATGTGTGTGCTGTACAATGATGTAAGAAATATAAACAGAGAGCAGATCCTGAGGGTGATGGGACCAGTGAATGAATAATTTTAAGCAGGGGAGTGATATTGTCTGGTTATTTATTGGAGTTATTTTAGACATGGGTTTTTTCTTCCCGTAAGAGGTCATGGCGTGTCTGGGTAGGTGTGTCTCTCCAGAGTCAAATGTTTCCTTTGTGGCATGCTGCCTTTGCCTCCCCTACCCAACCCTGATGCTGGGAGAAGAACACTCATCAGAATCAGCAATTGAGAAATGATACAAGTGTTCAGTTCTTAATCAAGTACTCCTTATTAGTATTTGTTTTTCAGTTTAGACATGGCTTTCCTTTCTCTAAACAAAGACATGCTTAGAATCAGATATCCAAATGTCTGATTCTACTGTGTTCATTTTTGCTGATAAATGTACGGAGTATACTTTTAAAGGTGGGCTACACAGACTATTTATTTTATGTTGTTAAACCTTGTGTTCTGGATCAAAGTGAATCTTTAACTATTTTATAAAAGTAAATGCTTTTACATGCTATTAGTAATCCTTACTGGTCATCTGGTGGGGAAATAAAAGAATCTAAGGAATTACCAAAAAGTAATATTAATAATAAACACATAGGCCTTTGAAAACATCCCTTCCATCTGCCAAATAATTACAAAGCTAAGCAAAATACTAAAGAGTTTAGAACGGATGGGACAGATTTGAAGAAGGCATTGCTGCAATGAATGTTTATAACTCAAATAAGCAGACTTATTTTCCTGCTAATATTTAGTTATAGCGAAGTATGGACAATTAAAGGAATTTTAATTTGCTGCCTTTAATTTGGATGCCTAAACTAATGAACACATTAGTTTTTGCGTGGGAAATTGAAGTATGTTGTTTCAGTCTGGGTCCTTGTGTAGTAAATTCTAACTCCTGTTAACTGCCTTCTACAAGTAACAGAAATGTGTGAATCTGACCCTAGAATTCATCAGTTGCTTTCTTTTCCTAGCATATGCATGCTGAGATACATTTTTAGGTGCGTGGCTTCTATCTTTAATATATATATAAGAACTTTTAATTTCTTTAAAATTCATAAATGTAAGGAAAAGACTGTCAAGATGCTAGGGTTTTTGTTGTTTATTTTTGATATTCCTATCTTAACACTTAAGAGATCAAGTAGAAATGAGAAATAAAATCTCTCCTCCCTGCCCCCAGAAAATTCAGGCTTGAAATTTTGACTTAGAATTATAGTTATCAACTTACTATTGACTTCTTGAAGAAAGGTTAATTTGATTTTTTTCCTAGCTATTTTCCTTCATTGTCAAATATCATATCATTGGTGTGACTTTGGAATTCACGTTGTGTTTTACAAGCATAATGATGTGGCACATAATCTTATTTGTCCCTGGGTTAATTATGGAAATCCAAAGGTGAGAGGGATTTAACTCCAGACCAATTCTTTATCTTCCAGATAATTTCCCTAAAGAACATTCTAAGAAGTTTTCTAAGCAGAAGTTGGGAGGAAAGGTCTCAGAACTACCCAAGGCTGGGGAAAGAACCAGCTAAGAGGACTAGAGGGAATAGTACCCAGCACTCACACAGAGCCAGGAGTAGTTTTTGCTCTAACAAGGCAAACTAAAGAATATCATAGCTCACTGGGCATTTGGGTAGAAGGGTTTTTATCTTAGTAGGTAGGAATAATTGGCCCTAGAATAAATGCTGCTCTGGTCCCACCTAATAAATCTTAAAAGCAAGACCCAAAAGGATCACACTGCTACCAGGTAATTTAATCATGTCCTGGAGCAAAGCTCATGAATATTTATAGGAATACAAAAATATTCATACCTAACAAGGTAAAATTCACAATGTCTAACATCCAGTCAAGGATTACCAGGCATACGAATAGGCAGGAAAATACAACCCATTATGAAGGTGCGAAATCATCCAACGAAACCAACCCAGAACCGATAATGATATTAGAACTAGCAGATACAGACATTATAAGTTATTCTAACTAAATTTCAGATGTTTATAAGTGAACTAGAGACATGCAAGATGTAAAAAAGACACAAATCAAATTTCACAGTCAAAATACACTGATGTTTGAAATGTTTCATGATTTAAAAAAACAAAAGACAAAGCTTCTCCTTGAATAAATTTCTCTTCATCACCATCTTCTCTCATGAGCTGAAGCCAGACCTTCCATATGAATCCTGAAACTAAATCCAACGAAATATATATTAGCCTCTTTCTCTCACCTCCTATGGTCTTTACTCAACCTGGTCCCATTATTTCTGCCTTCCCAAGTACAATTCATGTTTTCTAAGACATTTGAAGACAATCTTTAATAAAGTACAGGTATACTTCATTTTATTACGCTTCAGTTCACAGATACTGCATTTTTTTTACAAATTGAAAATCTGTGGCAACCTTGCATTGAGCAAGTCTGTTGGCACCATTTTCCAACAGCACAAACTCACTTTGTGTCTCTGTGTCACATTTTGGTAATTCTCAAAATATTTCACAATTTGTCAATATTGTTATGTCTGTTATGGTGATCTGTGGTCAGTTATCTTTGATGTTACTATTGTAATTGTTTTGGGGAACCACAAACTTGCACCCGTATAAGACGATGAACTTAATCAATGTTGTGTATGTGTTCTGACTGCTCCGCTGAGCACCCCCCATCTCTTTCCCTCTCCTCAGGCCTTCCTATTCCCTGAGATACACAGTATTGAAATTAGGCCAATTAATAACCCTTCATTGGTCTCTAAATGTTTAAGTGAAAGCAAGAGTTGCACATCGCTTACTTTAAATCAAAAGCTAGAAATGATTAAGTTTATTAAGCTTAGTGAGGGAGTCATGTCAAAAGCCAAGATAGGCCAAAAATTAGGCCTCTTATGCCAGTTAGCCAAATAGTGAATGCAAAGAAAAAGCTCTTGAAGAAAATTAAAAGTGCTACTCTGGTGAACACACAAATGAAGAGAAAGCAAAACAGCCTTATTGCTGATATGGAAAAAGTGTTAGTGATCTGGTAGAAGACCAAACCAGCCATAACATCCCTTTATGCCAAAGCCTAATCTAGAGCAAAGCCCTGACTCTCTTCAATTCTGTGAAGGCGGGGAGAAGTGAGGGAACTACAGGAGAAATGTTAGAAACTAGCAAAGGTTGGTTCATTAGGTTAAAGGAAGGTATCTGCCTCTATAACATAAAAGTGCAAGGTGAAGCAGCAAGTGCTAATGGAAAAGCTGCAGCAGGTTATCTAGAAGATCTAGCTAAAATCATTGATGAAGGTGGCTACACTAAACAACAGATTTTCAATGTAGACAAAACAGCCTTATGTTGGAAGAAGATGCCATCTAGGTCTTTCATATCTAGACGGCAGAAGTCAGTGCCTGTCTTCAAAGGAGAGGCTGACTCTCTTTTTAGGGGCTAATATAGCTGGTGACTTTAAGTTGAAGCCAATGCTCACTGACCATTCTTAAAATCCTTGGGCCCTTAGAATTATACTAAACCTTCCCTGCCTGTGCTCTACAAATGGAACAACAGAGCCAGGATGACAGCACATCTGTTTATAGCATGATTTAGTGAATATTTTAAGCCCACTGTTGAAACCTACTGCTCATAAAAAAAGATTTCCAAAATATTACTGCTCATTAATAATGCACATAGTCACTCAAGCTCTGATCGAAATGTACAAGGATATTAATGTTATTTTCATGCCAGCTAATACAACATCTATTCTACAGCCCATGGATCATGGAGTAATTTTGACTTTCAAGTTTTATTATTTAAGAAATACATTTTGGGCCGGGCGCGGTGGCTCACGCCTGTAATCCTAGCACTCTGGGAGGCCGAGGCGGGTGGATCGCTCAAGGTCAGGAGTTCGAGACCAACCTGAACAAGAGTGAGACCCTGTCTCTACTAAAAATAGAAAGAAATGATCTGGACAACTAAAAAATATATATATAGAAAAAATTAGCCGGGCATGGTGGCGCGTACCTGTAGTCCCAGCTACTCAGAAGGCTGAGGCAGGAGGATCGCTTGAGCCCAGGAGTCTGAGGTTGCTGTGAGCTATGATGACACCACTGCACTCTAACCTGGGCAACAGAGCCAGACTCTGTCTCAAAAAAAAAAAAAAAAGAAGAGGAAATACATTTTGTAAGGCTATAGCTGCCATAAATAATGATTCCTCACATGAATCTGAGCAGAGTAAATTGAAAACCTTCTAGAAAGGATTTACCATTCTAGATGCCATTAAGAGCATTCACGATTCATGGGAGGAGGTAAAAATATCAACATTGATAAGAATGTGGAAGAAATCGATTCCCACCTTCATGGATGACTTTGAGGAGTTCGAGACTTCAGTGAGGAAGTAACTGCAGATGTGGAAGAAATACCAAGGGAACTAGAATTAGAAGTGGAGCCTGAAGATGCGACTGAATTGTTGCAATC